AATTAAATGAAATAGAGAATAGAAAAACAATTGAAAGAGTTAACAAGACCAAAAGCTGGTTCTTTGAAAAGATCAACAAAATTGATAAACCACTGGCCAAACTGACAAAAGAAAAACAGGAGAGGAAGCACATAACCCATATAAGAAATGAGATGGGTAATATCACAACAGATCCAACTGAAATTAAAAGGATCGTAACAGAATACTATGAAAAATTGTACTCTAACATATTTGAAAACCTAGAGGAAATGGACAAATTTGTAGAAACTCACTACCTACCTAAACTAACACAAAGAAAAATAGAACAACTAAATTAACCCATAACAAAAGAAGAGATTGAAAAGGTAATTAAAAAACTCCCAACAAAAAAAAGCCCTGACCCGGATGGCTTCACTGGAGAATTCTACGAAACTTTCAGAGAAGAGTTAACACCACTACTACTAAAGGTATTTCAGAGCATACAAAAGGACAGAATACTCCTAAACTCATTCTATGAAGCCAGCATAACCCTGATACTAAAACCAGGTAAAGACACCACCAAAAAAAAGAAAATTGCAGACCATGAACACTGACACAAAAATCCTCAACAAAATTCTAGCCAATAGAATTCAGCAACATGTAAAAAAAAAATTCACCATGATCAAGTGGGATTTATACCAGGTATGCGTGGATGGTTCAACATTAGAAAAAATTAATATAATCCATCACATAAATAAAACAAAAGACAAGAACCACATGATCTTATCAATCGATGCAGAAAAGACATTTGACAAAGTCCAACACACATTCATGATAAAAACTCTCAACAAAATAGGAACAGAAGGGAAATTCCTCAATATAATTAAGGGCATTTATATAAATCCAACAGCCAACATCATCTGAAATGGAGAGACTTTGAAAGCATTTCCCTTGAGAATGGGAATGAGACAAGGATGCCCTTTATCACCATTCTTATTCAACAGTGTACTGGAGGTCCTGGCCAGAGCAATTAGGCTAGAAAAAGAAATAAAGGGCATCCAGATTGGTAGGGAAGAAGTCAAAGTATCTCTATGTGCAGATGATATGATCTTATACACAGAAAACCCCAAAGAATCCACAAGAGAAGTACTAGAACTAATAGAAGATTTCAGCAGAGTTTCAG